ATATAAATACTTATTGGCCGACTGGGAGAAGTCATGTTGACTCTTTCAGTTCGAACCAAAATTCTCTCTTCTCTCTTTCTCTCTTTCTCTCTTTCTTTATCACTTTTTCTTYTTCTACATAACWGAACTCAGTCAGGCCGAACTCTAAGGCAGACCTGAATTATAACACTTTCCAACTGACCCGACCTGGTCAGGTTGCCTGACAATAAAACCAAAACCGACCTGATCGGTTTGAGTTGGTTTGGGTCGGTTTGAGTGCTTGAGTTTAGGGGCTAAGGGAGTAAGGGCGGACCAAGTTAGAAGTTACCAAGAAAAGAGAAAGTCAAATTGTGTTAGAAAAAGAAGACTGAAATTTGGAATTCTTAAGAAGGCTTCTAATCTAAGTAAAAAAGACACCTAATTGTAATTACCTATTTGGTGTAAAGGACCTTAGAGAATAGGATCCTTTCTTTAAACCTTCCAAAAAAATGCAAGAAGCTATTAATGGCATTAATGGCATTCCTTGTCTTGCAATGCTTGCCATTAATGGCATTCCTAAAGTGAAGACTAGAAAGTAGAAACTATAAGTAACTATAAGTAACTATAAGTAACTAGAAAGTAGAAACTAAGTTAGGTACAAACTACTAAGTACTAACTAGGAACTAAGTCGGTTCGGGTCGGTTCGGTTTTGGTTTTTATGTGTGGAAACCAAAACCGAACTGACCCATTGGTTTATGCTTTTTAGTAACCCAAAACTAACCGACACTAAAGAAAATCTGGCCATCTTGGGTTGGGTCAGACCGGGTTGGTCAGTTTGGTTAGTTTGGGTCTTCTTATGAACAGCCCTAACTCTACCCAAAAGTAAGGTGGAGTATGGGACTCCTGCAATAATGTCCTCACAACACTAAGGATATGTCCATTCTTGCGCTCGGCCACACCATTCTACTAAGGAGTATCTGGACAACTTCATTGCACTTGTATTCCATGATCCTTCAAATAGGATAAAAAATTCCCATCAGTGTATTCTCCCCCTGAATCCGAACGGAGAATACGCACTTGTGATTGAAACCGAACCCGCACCATAGTATGAAACAACTTAAATGTTGGAAACACCTCAGACTTGTGGTGAAGAAAGTATATCCATGTGTACCCGGTACAATCATCAATGAATGATACAAAATATTTGTATCCAAGCCGAGAAGAGACAAAAGCAGTCCAGACATCACTATATATAAGCTCGAAGGGAGAGGTAGCATGCTCAGATATGTGAGGAAATGGTAAGGTACGACTCTTACTTAAGCAACAAGAAACACAAGATGTATCAAAGGTGTGCAAGGAAGAAACTTTATTCTTAATAAGGCCTGAATCAAACAAAAGTTTTAATTTTTTCATAATGTAAATGACCTAAATGTTTATGCCATAAGTCCCAAACATTATTTCTATGACTCGGAAAGGAACTAGAAGTGGAGGAACTTAAATAAACTGATGATGTTGCTGTTTGAGGCTTCTCGAACTCCAATCCAAACAGACGGCCCAACCCACACCCCTTCCCTTTCACCTTCCCAGTGTTCCGGTCCTGAATCAAACATCCATCTTGAGAGAAGATTAGAATGCTACCTTCATCAAATTTGTAGTGAGAATAGGAACAAGAAGGGTCCTGCTAAGAGGGAAAGATGCAGTGGGTGAAAGCTTAAGAGACAGATCACTACTACCAATGATGTTTAACTTTTCACCATTGGTAGTAACAATATGTTTGTGATGGGTTTTAGTAAAGTTACTTGGTTGGTTAGGGTAATCTCCTGTGATGTGGTTGGTAGCTCTAGAGTCAATGATCCAAGTATGAGAAGAAAAAGCACAATAACCAAAAAACTCATTAGGTAAGCCAGTAGCCGAAAGAGTAGAGGCAAGAGCAGAAGTTACCAGTTGTCGAATGTTTTCCTCAACCATAGATGCCAGAGAATCAGCTTTAACAAAAGAATCACCACCAATAGTAGATTTCTTACTGCCATGTGCTACAGCAGCAGTGTCAACTCCATAGGTTGATCCTTCCAGTTTTATAGGAATAATATCTTCTCTATTAGAGGCCATTTCAGCAAGAAAGCAGCAGTCCAGGCACAAGGATATCAGAGACAATTCAGCAATCAAGAACTCAAGATGACAGTCCAAAAAGGTAAGTTTTAAGACTATCAAGTCTAAAACCCTTCAAATATGAATTTGAAGTCTGAATCAAATAAATGGGAAGCAAGAAAACCCTAGGACGACACCAGATCTAGGGTTATAGGTTGATCGAGTCAGCCGATTGAGAGAAAACTGTGATTTACCAACACATCAGGTGTCTTTTTCAAGAATAAGGAAATATCTTGTGCTGATCGAAACAGTCCCTAGAAATCTCCAAACCAAAAACTGAGTGTAGGATTAAGAAGAGCTTGAGAGAACCCTTCAATCTGAAGAGAAAAACTCAAATCACAGGCTGATGTAGAAGGCCTGAAGTCCAAAAAAGAAAACTGTACAGTGGTACAACCCCAAGAAGAAGATCAAAACTCCTTCGAAAACTTCACCAAATCAGATGTTGTTTATAGGTAGAATAGATCAGGTCTAGGCAACACCAGATCTGAAGTCCAAAGTTGTTGCAGTCCAGAAAATGAAACTGTACAGTGTTGCTGCCCCAAGAAGGTCAGAACTCCTTCGAAAACTTTACCAAATCAGATGTTGTTTGTAGGAAGAATAGATCAGGTCTAGGCGACACCAGATCTGAAGTTTGGCCTCGAACCAATGTCTCACAAGAGAGATCTAATGAAGTCTCTCCTGCTGGTTGCGCAAAGAAGACTAAACAGAAAAGGATTGATCAAAACAGCCCTAATATGACAGGATTACTGTTACTAGTGAGTTTCACAAGAGAAAAAATAGATCAGAGAGTAACCTGCTCTGATACCATGTCAACACTCTTGTCTGAATAGAGAGAAGAGCAAGAATAATCTTAGAGGTGTCAAGAGTGAATAACTCCCACCTCAAAGAGTCTCTTATATATTAGAAGATATGTACAATTACAAAAATGCCCATATAGGGCTGAAAGAGAAAAGAAGAATAAGAAGTATAAGTAATGTACAACAAGGACTATACTAATAAGATACATCAAGTTATAGAGCCTCCACATAAAGCTTATTCTTTTTGAATTCCTTGAATTCTTGATCAGTTCTAGTACAATTATATATTCCTTGTAAACTATTCTTGCTTGTCTGTATAATGTACTTTCTCTTATCAATTAAAGAAAGCAGTTCTGGGTAGAAGTAGAAAACACTTTTTATGGCTTCAAAAGATTTAAGCATTTATAATATGGTGTTCTCAACTTAAAGAAGAATATCGAGGTATGCTTCTTCCTATATTATATGCTCAAGTTAATTGATTCCTTTTTTCAATCAATAATTTTTTCTGTTATTTGCATGGATGGTTACCACAATTGTGGTTTTCAATTGCTTTAGAAGTAAACATGGTTAAACATAGTAAACTTGTATATCAAGAGTGGACAATAGAAGCATGAGAAGTGGCTACCCATGATCTGTACTAAAAGGCCATTACCCATTGTTGGTCCCAGAGATTTGGGGTATCGGTAGGGGTGGACTGTACATGGACATAACCTTTAGCTTTTTTTATATATTTTTTGCACAAAGTAGCCACACTCAGACTCAAACCTGTGTTCTTGCACTTGTCAGCATAAAGTTTACCACTACATCAAGCAACATACCCTATTAATGATCCATGCTGAGTAGCCAAATAAATGAAGTGAAAGTTAATGATGTGCAAACTGGAATTCAGCTTATGAAAATCTCAAATTTCCAATGCTTAGCTTATTATATTTCATTTTTTTATATATTTTTTGCACAAAGTAGCCACACTCAGACTCAAACCTGTGTTCTTGCACTTGTCAGCATAAAGTTTACCACTACATCAAGCAACATACCCTATTAATGATCCATGCTGAGTAGCCAAATAAATGAAGTGAAAGTTAATGATGTGCAAACTGGAATTCAGCTTATGAAAATCTCAAATTTCCAATGCTTAGCTTATTATATTTCATCTTTTCGTATACCCAAACCTATAATTTACTTGTGTTTCTCTATTGTTTGCCATTACTCACAGCTGAACTATGATCATCTTCTAAATCTTGGGAACATCTGCAGTGTTACACAGTTATCATTCTTCAATGCCAATAAATAATTATAGCTACTGAATAAAGGTAAAGATTATTTTTTTTTAAAGAATACCAAGAAATTGACATGGTACCTTCTTAGTTTCTTCCATGAGCTCATGCCCCAATTTCTTCAACAATAGTACAGTTTTTGGTGTCGATTTCCACATAAGCATCTGCTGCTGTGTGCTGGGATGAGTGAAGGCAAGGGAGGATTCTGTTACTTTTTCCCTAGTGCAAGTAAATCCATCTGTGCGGACTAAGAACATCTCTGCTTTCTTTCTTGATTGCACTCTTACAACACCAGTTGTAGAAGCACACATATTCCCATCAACAATTTCTAAACCATCACTAGCTGAAGCTGAGGAGGCTTTACCATTACCCATTTGGTCCTCCTTAACACTTGTAGATGTAATATTTCTGTCCACATTATCCAGATGCTCTTTAATAGCTGTAGATGTAAGACTCTTTTTCAAGTTATAACGCTTTTCAATCCCAGCAAGATCTCCCATTTTGGAAAATCCATTCACACTTGCAGAAATAGAAATGGATCTATCTCCATCAGAAGAGTTTTGGGGCTCTGAATATGAACTTTTACCATGAAATGACCCATTTGAAATTCTTTCCTTCTCCAGCTCTAATATATGAGGAGTCCCAATACTTTCATTGTTCTGTTCTGCCTTTGTAATTGTCCCTCCAGAGAATTCTGATACCCCAAATCTTTTCCATTTATAATCTAAAAAAGTGGGAGGTGAGATCTTCTTATTTTTGAAAAACCTAGACATCTCTCTTCTGGAGAAAACATCACAGATTGGGAACTGAGACTTCAGCGGATCAATTTCCCTCCAGAAGCCTTCAGGAGACCTTACCTCTTCTCCAGTGACACTAATCCCCTGTACTGATGTGCTATACTGAGAAGAAATAAAGTTTCTATGGGTTCCATTTCCAGTATGACCTTTCTCAAGGGATAAAGAAACTTCACCAGATATCTCATTAGCACTGTTGGTGGCATTCAAACCCTTAAAAAGTGAAACATTCTCATTTTCCAAATGCATGTCTGCTTTTAGTTTGAATGATGTCTGTGGATCTCCTTTTCTTTCTGTATCTTTGGAATGACTTTCAGTGGGAATGGTTGGGTTATTTGAGACAGACTGCATATAAGAGCGAACTGTGTACTGCCTCCATCTTGAGACCATCGCAGAAGTCCTCCAAACACCTACCTGGCTATGAAGATAAAGTGGCCTTCTGTTGGAATCTGATACTAAGGATGCAAATTTTTCAACCTGATCCATTGAAGGTGCAGTTCTGACTTCAACTGGCAATTTTACCACTTCAACTTTTCCCTGCAAGACAGCATCATTAATAGCCTCTTGATAGAAGTCATCCTTGACAATCTCTGCTCTAAGATCTACAATAGTTTTAAATCCTCTTTCTATTAACCACTTCAAACCTTCATCTGTTATTTGACCACCCTTCCAGAAAGCTATTGAATTTTTGGATGTAGCATCTTCTTTAGTTGTGGATAGATAAACAGGATCCCAGTTTGCAAACATTGTTTGGCAGGGATAATCATCCATACGAGGGAAACCAACATCATAACAGACATTCTTTAACCTCTGTAACTTCCTCCATACATTGGTACTTCTGCTGTCAGATGGTACCAAATAGTTCTCAAGAGCAATATGCAAACTCTCGCAACACCTTTTCATCTCACCCCTGAAAATGGCAAGTGGTGGAAGATTATCTTCCAAGGAATTTACATTAACAACTCGAAAGGAATTCATGGAAGCAGACCTCCCAGAAAGAACTTCTGCCCTTCCTTTATTTAGAAGAGCTACAATGGAACCAAGAACTGCTGCTACTTTGTCTTCCAACAATGGCTTCTCCTCTGATGGGAGGTCATACGAAACAGTACATTCTCCAGTCAATGGGTTGCATAATGTGTCCATGGTAGCAATATGAAGCTGCTCTGCAGCTCTAAAGATTCTACAATATGCTTCAATTTCAGCAATGTCCCCAGGGACAGGACCAATCCGAGACAACTGAGATGAATCTTGAGATTGGAAGGTCTTCAAATCCAAACAAACAATCTGTGTCAGTCTATGACTAGAGAAGTAATGCTCCTTAAGTCACTATAATTCCACTAAGCAATGCCATGAGAAACAGCAGTTAAACTATCTACCTACAGAAAGATAAATTGTAAATTATCTGCTACACTAGAAATAAAAGAAAGAAGTGCTCAAATATTAAAACTCAAGGGAAGATGCGAGAATTATAATGTTTTTACACCAAAGATCAGTACTTGGTCCATTGTCTTCTTGCATTAGTTAAGAATGAATTACCTAGACATTTACAGAAGGATATCCAGTGGTCAACATTGTTTCTTAATGATAAAATATTGATCAATTAAGCTAAAGAAGGGATGAATGCAAAGCTCAAATAATGGAGAGATGCTTTAGAATCAGAATGTTTCAAGATAAGTTAGAATAAGATAGAATGCATGTATTGCAATTTTAGTGAAAATGTTAATAACAACGGTGTGCACTTCAGATTGATGATCAAGAGATACCCCTTACTAATTGAATCAATCACACATAATGAAGTTAAAAAGAACGCTGTCTATAGAATTAGAGCATGGTGGTTGAAGTTGAGAGGTGCATCTGCTATGCTATGTAACCACCATATACCACTGAGACTAAAAAGAAAATTTTATGAGAAAACTACAAAACTAGCATTGTCATACAGGACAGAATGCTTGCAACTAAGAAACAACATATACAAGAAACAACTGTAGCTAAGATCGACAAATTGCAAGGCTAGAAATGACATAATTAGAAATGAACGTATTAAAGAGGACTTAGGAATAATAACCCCAATTGCTGACAAGAGGAGAAAAAGACAACTGAGATAGTCAAGTCATGTGCACAAACAACCAATGACTGCACCAATGAGGGGTGACTTGGCACAAGTAGAGGGCTGTAAAATGGCATGGGGAAGATCAGATAAAACATAGCCTAAAGTGGTAAGAAATTGTCTAAGGACTTGAAATTTGACAGAAAACATGGCTCTTGATAAAGCACAATGCATACAGGATTTTGTAGGAATCATTAAACAGTTGAATTAGGAGGTTGAGTTGAGTTTAGTTGGATACATGATTATATGCTGAATTCAGAAGATACAGCTGTAAATACGTAGAGGTAATCATGATAAGGTAAGCATAAGCTCTCAATTGCTCAACAGAATCACCATCATCATCATCTAAATGGCAAATACAAAATAAAGGAGACTAATTCTTACAAATGGCAATCCAATTTGTTGATCTCTTCCCAGTTTCCATATATACTTCATTCTCCCAAGGAAACAAGAAAAACAAAAATAATGAGAAAATAAACTGCTATTTCCATCCAAAAACTGGTAATAAGTATTTTCCCCACATAAATTCCTATATACAATGGAAAATCAGTTGACAGGTAAGCAAGTAAGCATTTGTAACACATGCATTAGATCTGTATCTTCTTGACAGTAACATCTTCTCAACAGTCATATGTTGACTGTATATTCCCATAGCCAATAAACCTAAAAGTAGTATTAAAGAGAGGACTTAAGTCGCACATATCTACTCATATAAGATGCATCTTTCAAAAGCCCCCAGATTGGATAGAATATAGCAGCATGATAAAAGGCATGAGATATAATACCAATGCCTACAATAAACAAAGTATTCAGGTTTCTACGACCAACTGGTTACTCGCTTATTATGATTCAAAGGTTGGTAATTAATACTTCAACCTTTAAAGATATGTTTCTCTCTACTGGAGGTTCAACTCCCTATATAACAATTAAACTTTTCTGGTACCGATTCCACTTATAGGATATGGGAGTATCTTAATGATTACATTTTGGTTCATTGTTGAAGCCAAAGGAAAAAAAAAAAAAAGAAAAAGAAAAGAAAAGAAAAGAAATTAAGTACTTGATCTCATTGGCAAAACTAATGGTCATCAAGTCTAAGAATAAACACTATTTTGCAGAAATCCTAACAAGAGCGTTACATATAACAAGAATAAGAACAAAAACAAGAACAATATATGTTCTTCTACTTTTACAACAAGAAACAAGAACAAGAAAAAGAAGAAATTGATGAACATTAATGTAACCCCAAGCAGGCAGTATTGAAGCATTACCTGAGTGTCCAAATGAATATCCGACGAAAAGAAACCAGAAATTCCAGCTCGAGTAACGAAATTAATCCCATCTCTCTTCTTTTTATGGGAAATAACTCTAATTCCGTCTCTATTTTCCTTGGTCAATCCAGAGCACAGTGAAATCTTTGAATGGCAAGTTTTTCCAACTACAGTATAAGAAAATAGACTCATGTCAAACACGAACAAACACCCAATCCCATGAGATTGGTTGAAGCAACAACATCCCACTACCACCATCTCCCTATCCTCTTACGAACTCAGCAGAATTTAAAGCGATATTAATAGCGGTAAATCATTTCACACACAGAGAGAGAGAGAGAGAGAGAGAGTTGGACCACCACTGCACCGTTAATATCCACGAAATTAGAGTGTGGAGAAGAGTCGAGCGGTTAAGACAAGACGCCCACTCTCTGTCTCTCTCTCCGATTCCGTTGGAATCGAAGATTTGGGACAATATAGCGTTTTGGATCTTCAGATGGATCGGGCTGGAATTTATGGGTCTGAAAAGGGACTGGATCCGAACATGATCCATGCAACCCTATAGGGCATATCGAGAAGCCATGGCACGATACATATGGATCCATACGGACTAATATGTATTGATAGTTTGACACTTTGAACCTTATTCAATAGGACCCACCAATGCCAAGTGGTGCGTTTCTGATTCTCAATTGCACACATGGCTTAATGCAAAATTGCAAATGGCCTGATAAGACTGGATTTGCGTGCTTCTCACCAATTTCACAGATTTACAATCGCACATCGAGAATATCTCCCGTACTTATACATTGTGATGGGAGGCATTCCCAATGCATGACTGCAACAGGCTGTTGGTGTATGGGGGAGGAAATCCGAATTTAGCTAAGGCCAGATTTGTTCACACAGCATTCGCAACCGTCACATCAGAAATATATATCCTGTAGCAGTCTTCGGTTCTTTTTTTCTTGCTGCCACGTTGCTTCAAAGAAGATAAATAAAAGGGGAATCGGATAAATATCGATTTATTTATTTATGAATATGTGGCGGGAGTTTTATTTACCGATTCGATGCTTTCATTGGAAAATTTTCCATGCCCTATAAATACCCTTCGATTATCATTTAATTTTCTTTATCAGCTATTTAAATGTTGGCAAAAAAAATTGAATAATTCCATATTTTTGTCCAAAATATAGTCCAGGGGCCAAAATGGCATTATGTTCAAAATACATGATACTAATCGGGAATTTTTCCAAAGATGGTTAATATAAACTCTGTGATATAAGAGTCAGGTTTTAGTCAGCACATTACATGGCAGTCACCAAGAGGCTGAGATCCTCTAATCAGATGATTGATATAGACTTATTCCCACCATGTGCTGCTATTTTTAATTTACCTTTCGGTGCATCCTAGTCCTGAAGGGCCAGAAATATGGCTGTCAACGGATTGGATCTGGGCCGGTTTTAGGGAGAACCAGTCATGAACCAATTATTAATCGGGACAACAGACCCAGAACTATCTCAATTAGTGGTCGGGTCCTATCAGGTCATACTTAATAAACCCGATTGTTTTCAAAACTATATTTATTTATTTAAATAATAACTTAAAATGTATGTTTTGATAATATAATCTAAATAAAAATGATAGTAAAATATTAAACTGTTTATATGTTAATAAATTAAACATTTTTAACTAATATTATCATATATATTATCTATCAAATTTATCATTTCAGGCACTATAAAAAATAAAATTAACAAACTCACTATATATTTAATAAAATAATTGCTTTAGATTCTTATCAATTTGGGCCAAGCAATAGAATCAGAACCAAAATAATCGGTTCGATTTGGTTTGGGCAGTCCAGCAAAACCAGACTTATTGACAGCCCTGCCCAGAAACACTTCATATCCAAAGTCCAAAATAAATGGCACGACAACCAACTGGTTGGTTAGGTCTCATATTAGTCGTAGCGGAGACTTGGGTTGGGGGATGGGCAACCCCCAAATCCCCAATCTATCAAAAATAAATGGCACAAGTAGATCTTACTCTTAGGGGGCGTTCTTTTTTGGATCTGGAGGGGGGGGGNGGAAGTTGGTCAATGGGATTTTGGTTCACATTGACCAAGAATTCCATGTTCTTTTTTTAGCTTTATGTGGGGACATGGGAAATTCTATTTTCCTGGGTATCTCTTTCACTTAGAGGGAAAGTTGCTAACTTCTAGGTGGGTAAATAACTTTCTCACATAGAGAGAAAGTTGCTAACACTTGAATGGGACAAAAATGTCATTTTAATGATTCTATGACTAAAATGGCCATTGCCTTGTTTACCTAAGAAATAAAAAAACATGGGTAAATGCACTTACCTAGGTAAGTGTTTCCCAGAAAAAACTTACCCAGGTAATTGCATTTACCCAGATAAGTAACTCACCAAAAAGCGAGCAGGGCCTAAAAGTCCAATTTCACATTCCTTTTCGGTTTTCGATTCACAGAATCACAAGTCAATATTCCAGTAAGTGTTTAGATCAGACCACTAAATATGCAAGTCCCAGTTTGAATATTAGACCATCCGGTTCAGAACTCTTCTTAGAAAAAGTAGAATAATGGATTTCATTCAACTTTTAAGCCATTTGAGAATCGCACACTTTGTTATTTAGGGGGCATTTACAACATGAATGTTAGTTTTCATTTGTTCTAATTGCCACACAATAAAAAAGCAAAAACATTTTCTAAAACCTGTTTTTTATTTTCAAAGAAAAAAATAAATTGGTCTTGTTATGAATAACAATACATGTTTTTATTTTTTAGAACCATTAAAATAATAGTTTTAAAAATAAAAACAAACTTCCTAGTTAGAAATTATATGATTTATGGAACATGATATAATGATATTAAGGGGCCTTCTACAATATGAATGCTTTTGTTTTCAGAAATTGCCACATCAATAAAAAACAAAAAATATACATATATTCTCAAATTCTGTTTTTGTTTTCAAAGACAAAAACAAGTTGGTTCTTTAAATAAAGGGTTCAACTATGATATGGAAAAGATATCATATCTGAAAAACTTCTCACCAGTCAACTAGAATTATTAATGGATAGCCAATCAGGTGTTATTTATCAAAATTCATGGGTGGGGTTTGATTGGTCAAAACTCTTCCCATAGCATATCTTTTCTGCATCATAGATTTTCCCTCAAATAAATTTGTTTTAAAACAAAAACAAATTTTGTGATGTAGAAATTATATGATTTTTGGAACACAATATTAAATAATTAGATGAAAACATGTTCTTGAAGCCAAGAATTTAGTAAGTTTCAGTTTTGAAAATAAAAAATGCACATAACCAAAACCAAGCTTTTTAGTGTTTTTGTTTTAAGAAATTATACGTTTTCGGATCAGATGGTTTTGATTTACTTTTGAAACCGGCAACAAGAAAAAACAATTCATGTTCTAAAACACCCCCTAAATAACCACATGAAACATTGAAACCATAAATTCAACAATATGTTTTTTGTTTCGATTTTGAAAGCAAAAAACACATATAGAACGAATAACGTTTTTTTGTGTTTTTATTTTGAGAAACAACTTGTTTTTAAACCGGATGGTATTGAATTATTTTTGGAACCAGCAACAAGAAAAACAATTCATGTTGTAGATCGCCCCCTTAGATTTCTTGCCAATATGTGGAACTCATATCCATCGGCCATCGAGTCTGGTTACCCAGTATCACTATTTGCAACAAGGTACAACCAAAGTCGGCATCTCCCCACCTGCCTCAAGCAAGAATGGTTTTAGAGCTCTACCGTGGCACATTAACAGCATAACCACAAGGATCCAATTGATTGGTGTTGAATGTTAGCATGTTGCTAAAGGTTGAAGGTTGGAGGGAAACAGCATGGCGGATGAATAGATGTTTATCCTCCTTGGAATTGAAGATGGATCACCTCATGCACGGTTTGAAGGTAAATTCTAAATACTAAATTGTTGATAGCATTAGTGAAACCAGTACTCGGACAAAAATCATCAAATTTTGAGGAATACAGTCAATATTCAACCCACCCAACCAAGGCTAGATGCAGATGGAGTTTCATATCACCTGTTTATGTTACAATTGCTGCAAGTAATGTCTGGGTTTGGAGTAGATAACCCCAGGCTAAAAACTTCACTCTGCTTCAACACCGAAACCCACCTAATCAGTATCAAGCTACAGATATTAGTGAACTGTCTTGGGGTATGGGGACTCTGAAAAACCTGAACTAGATCCTTTAATCTAATCATATTTACACAAAAGACATGCAAGGGATAGCACACCTTATGCTACTTTGGAACTGTTACAACTCACTGTCGAAATAACAAAAAGGTGGTTTCTCGTTAAGATGAATGTAATATCACTGGTGGTCGCCAAAAATCAATCCCCCTTCCACTTCATTGTTCAAACTTCAATGGCCCTTCAAGTTGAAACTGCAAGAGAACATTAAATATCCACCATTTCTACTTAGAACTAACCTTTAAGGCATCGGATTGAAGATCACCTACTTCTGAGTCAACCGGCAATCTAGAGGATGATAATGAAGGACCCAGTTGGGATTAGGGCAAGTGATGAGAGAAATTCTGCTTCTAAAACTTTTGCAACACCTCTAAATAAAGCAGAACCAGTTAGCGCTCCATGTTACCTTTTCCAAGATTTCGAGTGTAAGATGCTTGATCAAAGACAATTCACATCAGCTGGGTTGTTCAGAACTAGGAAGGCCAGTTGACTGAACACTTGGTTTCTGCAATTGATTTCCAGCCTGCTTGGGGAACTTGTGCTTTTCTTTAACTTTTTGTATAGACAACTTGTCTGCATGGTAATGGACTTCACCGAAGATTGATTCTGGCTTCCTCTTAAGCTTCTTCTTTACCAATTTGCCATCTGTTCCCCTAACCTCATCCAAAAAGGTACCTGAACTATCCTTCACCTTCTCTTGCTTTGGCGGGCGATCCAAATTTAAACCATTTGTTGATGAATTTAGCACTCTACCAGGGGCCGAAATGTGCTGACTAGCAGCTGTCATGTTTGAAGTCATCCTGTTGGGTGAAGTTAAAACATGGCTACTTGGATCATACACAAGCCTTTCTTGCAGAAACCGAGGCTGAGCAATTGTACTAGTTTCACCATGAACAATCTCTTCTGTCCTTGGAGTACTGGACAACTTTTTTCTTCTGATCTTCTCCTGATCCTGTACATAAGAATAAGCCAAACATCAAGATTTGCAACAAAGTCCACTTGGAAAGAAATTTGTACTCTCAGAAATAATACTCCAAGCAGGCCAAATTCATTTAGTATACTCATGGATTTTTGTTACAAGGTCCTTTCTATACTGCATAGTTCCTGACTATTTTCTACCAGGCTTTACAAGCCTTGACACTTCCACTCACATATCACTATTTTAGCATGTCTGATAAGGGAACAGAAACAAAAATTAAAAATTAAAAATTGCCTAATGTTTGGCCATACCAACTAATATAGGGTCGCCTCTGAAACAAGAGCATTTTGAATTAATTTTCCCAAATATTTCAAGATTTACTTCTGTAATTTGCTATAGAATACAAAAACACTAGAATACATACACATGCTTAGTCTTTTTGACTAGGGATGACAACAGGTCAGGTTCAGCACAGGTTTGTCCCAACTCTCAACCCAAAGCCGACCCAAACCAATTATATGAAATCGGACACTAAACCCAATTCAACCCATCCCACAGATAGTATACCTACTCAACCAAGGCTATATGTACAAATGCTTCAATGTTATATACAATATCAGCAGCTCAGCTTTGCCACAGGTTCGTCTTAATCAAACCAGATTAACTCTGACTCAACCTTAACCCAATAGGGTCAGATCAATGCAGATTTACCGCTTAACCCAACCCACTGACATTCCTACTTATGACATTGAAAATAACTTATGCACATTTTTGGTACTATGAAAGCAGATAGTTTGTTAATTGGCAAAGGAAAAAAAGAAACAGTTTCTACTACATTCAATGCTGTCGATGTAGCTAGGCAATGTGGTGAGTAGTGCTTAGACACCAATTAGTCAACTACAATAGGAGACATGTTAAAATTTTAAGGTATTGATGCGATATATAAATCAATATCAATACAAACTGCTAATGTGCAATAAAAGAACAATATAGATCATCTAGTGACTAGTCAACTACAAAATAAATGTCATAATTGTAAGATGTTTTTATAGCCCATTTCATTCTTTTCAGTGTCAGATCCATTGTTAAATAATATTCCCTAAATCATTTTTCACTACTTCAGCCCCCCTAGTTCTTCTGGCCCCTTCAACTTGTAACAAATTACTTCTTACCAGTGTAGTAGATGGTCCTTTCTACACATGACCAGACCATTAGTCTACTTCCGCTCATTTTGTCACATATTGGAGCTACTCCTAGATTCCTTTGAATAGGTTCATTTCTTTTTTTTATCAATAACACTTTCATTAAATCAATATAAGAATAATTACTACCGGAAGATAAACTTTCTTATCTTCCAATTACAGCTTGATCCCCCAAGAAAAGAAAAGAAAGAGGAAAAAAAGAAACAATAAAGTTACAACTGGGCTCAAAACATTGATTCCCTTTCCACCCCTTGTTTAGCTAATCCATCAGCAAAAGAGTTAGCTGATCTTTTAACCCAGCTCATCTTCACTTCCATCTCTTGCACCAGCCAGTTAAATTTCCTCCTCTCATTGCTGTAACTCCATAAGCCACTGTTATCTTTATTCAGCCACCCTATCACCACCTCCGAATCCCCTTCAATTATGAGTTTTCTGATACTCAGCTCCTTAGCTTTCTAGACTCCTTCCATAAATGCTAAGATCTCAGCTCTAAGGGAGTCACCCACTCCAATTGGACCTAAGAACAAGGCGGAAATAACCCCATCCTCATCCCTAAAAACACCTCCAATCCCTGAATGACCAATGACCAGGATTCCCCCTACTGCTCCCATAAAGTTTAGTTTTAAGAATCCAGCAGGCGGGGGGTCCAAGACACACTCATTACTGGTTTGATCTGGGTACAATTTGCAATCTCACCCCACTTCCTAAACATATCATCCACTGTAATCTGTGAATAGCTCAAGGGATTTCAGCCACTGTACAGCCCTTATATGGATTACAGCCCTCAGTTCTTCAGCCCCTCTCCCAACCTCTGAGAAGATCCTGGAGTTTCTTTCTTCCCATAATGACCAGCATACTGCAGCCCTCAGTCCTCACCACATAGTTCTTCCCCTCTTCATACGCCACCTGAAAAAAGGGGGGGAGAAAAGACTTTGCAAATCTGATGGAGGGTTCCAACTGCACCCAAAGAGGGATAAAGCCCACTCCCAAATAGACTTTGCAAATTTACAAGACACCAGTAAGTGAAAACCAGTCTCCCCATCAGCTTTGCAAAGAACACACCATCAAGCAAATATTGGGTCTCTTCTTTTGGAGCAGAGAACCAGCGTTGAATCTTTCCAGATAGGCTTCCCAACAAAAGTTACCAACCCTTGGAGGAATGAAGAAAGAAGCACAAGAAAATGAGCTAGTGGGGGTAGGAGTCCAAATTCTAGAATCCACCTTAGTAGGGTCTAAGAAAACATTATTCAAGAATTTCAAGGAGGCTCAAAATACTATCGAGGTCTGAGTCCCTCACAACCCTTCTTAAACCCAAGTTCCATCCAAACCCAGAATTGGAAGAAGGGGTGATGAAAGAAGAAACTGGCTCATTTTTAAAATCAGATAGAGCATACAAAGAAGGAAATAGGTCCTTAAGAGGGACATTCCCCACCCAAATTTGTTCCCAAAATTTTATAGGGTTACCTGAACTCAAATCATACCTGATAAGAGGGGAGAATACTGGCAACAACTCATGAGTGGCTTTCCAAGGTGAAAGGCTTGTGGTCCTAGCTCTGATTCCAGCATCCCATCCATTTTTCTCCAACCCATGTATGCTTGCCACTATTCTAGCCCATAGCTTCTCCTGCTCCAATGGAAACCTCCACAACCACTTCCCCAAAAGGGCCATATTCCTTTTTCTAATGTTCCCAAGCCCCAAACCACTACATTTTTTGCTCCTGGTCACCACCTCCCAGCTTACTCTATGATCCCTCTTCTCCTCTCCCAGCTCCCAAAGGAAACCTCTCATCATCCTCTTCAATCTGCTAGAAACCTTCATTGGGATTTTGAACACTGACAGGAAGTAAATGGGTAAATTTGCTAGAGTGGCCTTAATCAATGTAGTCCTTCCACCAAGAGAGAGATAATTCATTTTCCAAGAGACAAGTCTCTTTTCAAATCTTTCCACCACCAGGTTCCAAAAGCTCTCTCTCTTAGGGTCATCACCTGATGGCAACCCTAGATAATTCAGTGGCCATCCTGAAACTTCACACACTAGCACTTCTACACACTCCCTAATCTCTCCCTCCACATTCACACCCACTACACAACTTTTCCCAAAGTTCACCTTCAAGTTTGACATTTGTTCAAAAAGTTGTATCACCAACTTCATATTCCTGATGAAACTCACATTACCTCCTTCACAGAACAGAATTGTATCATCAGCAAACTATAAGTGGGTAAGGGGGGTTTCCTCCCTTCCAACTCTCCAACCACTAATGAGGCCCCTGGAATATGCCCTGTGAATCAACTTCCCCAGAACATCAGCAATTAATATGAATAAAAATGAAGATAGGGGGTCTCCTTGTCTTATACCCCTAATGGCTAGTAAGAAATCTACCACTGTCCCATTCACTAGCACAAAATAATGACAATTCCAAACACATCCCATAATCCATTTGCACCACCTAGCCCCAAACCCAAATTTGCTCATAACTTTCTCCAAAAAATCCCAGTCCACCAAGTCATAAGCCTTTTCCAAATCCAACTTACAAACCATTCCCTTCTTTCTATCCTTCTTGAAATTCTCCACACTCTCATTAGCAATGAGGATTTGATCAATAATATGCCTTCCACTCACAAAAGCTCCTCGATTTTGTGCAATGATGTCTGGCAATACTTCCTTCAATCTCAAAGACAGAACCTTCGCAATAATATTGTATAGGCTATTTACCAAACTGATTGGTTTGAAGTCCTTTGGGTGGGATGCATCTTTCTTTTTTGGAATCAAGGCTATAAAGGTGGAATTCACACCCGGGTTAATAACTCCTCTCCTATGAAACTCCTCAAAGACCAATATAAGGTCCTCTTTCAAAATATCCCAACAGTCTTGATAAAAAGTCATTGTGAATACATCCGGTCCTAGAGCTTTTGTTCTATCCATAGAAAATACAGCCTCCTTGATCTCTTCCAAATCAAACCTTCTTTCCAATCTTCTCATGTTGTCCATCCCTACATCTGGCCAGTCCATTCCTTCGACCCACACCCCTCTACTTACAAGCCTTCTTAGAATGGATATGAAGTGTTCGACACATGCCCCTGTAATCTCCTCTTGTTGTGTCAACTCAACTCCATCCACTACCAATTTGGAAATAAAGTTTCTCCTTCTCCTTCCATCTACCATAGAATGAAAAAACATGGTATTTCTATCTCCCTCTTGCAACAATTTACAACGAGATTTTTGCCTCCAGCTAATTTCCTCCTTATGTAGGCAGTCCTCTAACTGTCTTCTCAACCCTCTTTTGTGTTCCTTGTCTTCCTCTCCAAATTCTCCCCTTTCTTCTTTAGAGTCAAGGCTCTCAAGTTGGTCCATCAGAGCTCTCTTTCTTTCTTCTACCCTCCCAAACTCCAAAAGATTCCACTCCTTGATCTTTGCTTTCAAAAATTGTAGTTTCTTATGAAATCACATCCCCTCCCATTCCACCATTGGATTACACTCATTCCACCACTCCCTTACTCTTTTGGTAAACCCGGGATGGAGTAACCACATATTTTCAAATTTAAAGGGGTAGGTCCTCCACTCCTTCTTTCCCCCTTACATATCACAATGGGCCAATGATCAGAGGTCACCCTAGGAAGAGCTCTAGATGCCAAGTTCCCCCATTGTTCTTCCCAATTCAAAGAGAACAGAAACCTATCCAGCTTGGAACAAATGGGACTAGATTGGAGGTTTGACCATGTAAATGTCTTGTGGTATAGAGGTATCTCTTTGAGCTCAAAGGCATCCACAAGCCTATTAAACTTCTTCATGCTACTTGTCACCCTCTGAATAGCATTATTGGTTTCCTCCGA